ATGGTTTCAGCAGAATTACTAAAGTTCTATAAAAAAGTAGAAATAGCATGGTATATCCAGCAATACCATGTGAATCAAATAACCTGATTTAATATTAAAAATTATAATACTACTTACACAACTCTTTTCAGGTTAAAAGTGTATTAGAAACATTACCTAACAAGTCCTCACACCTCCCTGTGAGATCAGTATTATTATTCCCATTTTACAGATGAGGTAACTGAGGCAGAGAGGTTAATAACTTGCCCTCACTCTCAAGGTCTTCCTAGGAACAGCAGGGCTGTAGTGCATGATGAGTATTCATTATAAGGCTATTTAATTACCAACCGTTACTGGCACAGATACTGGTTGGTTTGAAATCATACATGTTTATGGAGTCAATTCTTCAGCCGAACTATTTCAGATCCCACCTAAGAGTGTAGAGCTGAGGAAAAAAGTGCTTTAGCCGTCTACTTTTGTACTGCGTGGCAGCTCAGTGCTACCCACCGAACAGCACACAGCTATCAGCGCATCGCCTAGAGCCGACACTCATGTTAGCACAGAGACAAAACCTACGTACAATAGTTCACAACTAAAAGAACTAAAAATCACATTAAATGTTTCCGGAAGTTTCGTGGCAGGTCCGAAACCCCACTGTAAACTCAATACTGTAAATATGCTCTCTAGTCATATCAGAGCTTTATTATTGGATAATTATTATTTCCAGTGATGTGTTTTGCTTAACAAGGAGTATATTCCCCCTCTGCTAACAGCACGTGTCTCCTACGGCATTTAACTGCGACCGCATCCCAATGCACTGACTGAGAAACCAGAGTTTGCAAGCGGTACCACTCAGTCCCGGCCCTTGGACACGTCATCGTTCTGGCTGGAAGACAAGTTCCTCTCTCACTTGACCTTATGAATTTTACAGGAGCTCAGCAATATCCAATTGAATTCACCCCAAAAGACAGGATGGATTTCAAAGGCCAACAGCGTTTAGATATGATGAGTTTCTTTTAAACTAACAGCTGATTTCCAGAAGAGCTTTCTTCAGCTTGTAAAAGGAAATTCCATTGTATTTCTGGAAAGACTGAAGGATCAGAAAACTAAATTGCATTTCTCTTCTAAATTGGATTAAGGGGGAGTATTTTATTATGGGAATGTGCTCTCTCCTTCTCAAGTATGTGCAATCCTTGCTATGAGCACCAAGCCTGGCTGGCGCGCAACGTGGCTGTCCTGGACACCCACCACCCTGCTGGAGTGACTCAAAGGGGCTAAAACCACCCAGATGCCCGAACAATGAAGAGATTTTGCCCAAGAGCCAGTTAAGTCCCATCGAATCCCTGAAACAGCTTGGAAGTTTTGCAGACCTCTGCCTCCCCTGGTGGGAACGGGGCTGCCCCAGAGTCCCCGGGGACTACAGCGCACGTGGGATGGAAACACGGCTCCCAAAACTTCCACCCCACCTTGACTGTATTATAGTTTTCCACTTGACTTTTAGAAATCTTTGTGGTAATGTGGGCGTTCAGATTACGGTTGCTACTGAGCACAAGGGAAAGAAAAGCAGCTCTAGTGCCTCTCCCGCTGTTGATACGTGTTCTCCAGACAACCACATCTCGTGAAAAATACTGTATAAACAACATCTGTATTTAAAAAGATACAAAAATGCTTGCTGGATACTGAAGGTTTTCCTTGCCATTATAAGTTTGTGGATGATGAGCAAGCCACCTGGAGTTCTCATTAAAGGGCTGGTCCAAGCGTGAGCGCTGACGTGCGAGTGCATCAGGCAGTAACACAAATATTCACTCCCTGCTTTACACAACCCGGTCTCGTTCCTGCAGGATCCATGAGTTCACAGCACCTTTCCGTAAGCGTTACAGACACTGACAGAAGATGACATGAGATGTCGCAAGCCCGGGGACTTGAGATAAAAATGTTAAAGAGGAATTTATTTCTGCTTCTACATCAGAAAAACTGGGGAACAAATGCAAGTGCCTAAGAAACTGGTTATGAGAAGTAGCCAGAAAATGAGCAGCTGTGTCCAGATGTTGGAGCAGCTCTTTAATGTGTGAGCAGCACCGGCTGTCCCAGCTGTGCCAGCAACACCCACCTGCAATGGGACTTCCCTGCACAATCTGTATTTCACCGGGAAAACCAGAACTGTTTGGGAATCTCTGCCTGTGGGATCTCCTGCCTGTTTCTGCCTTGGTTGAGTTCTGCCCCTATACTGCTTTTCTTCCTATAAAAACCTGGGCGCTGGTATTTTTCCCTGCCTTTTCCTTTTTCAAAAGTCTTTTTTTTACTTCACATTCTTAAAACACATGTAATGCCGCCTCTCAGCAGATTTACTTACTTGAGAGCCCCTTGTTTATCAAAAATCTGAGCCTCGGTAACCTGTTGAATCTATTCTCTTTTACAGCATGATACCTAGATTTTCCTAAACTATGGCAGGCTAATAACGTTGAGAAAAACATAAACAGTCATGAATGCTGCCCTAGTCCACATGCTTTATGGTGAATACCATAATCTGTAAAGTATACAATATACAAACAAGAAAACGAACTCCCAGACCTGGCTGATAGCGTATATGGTTTAAAAACTTTACTCCTAAAATCTTTTAAAAATTTTGAGTTCTGTTGATTTAGGCAACAGTCTGAGTTCTTGTCAGTCGGTCAACGCCCCTGGTTAGCCGTGGCTCTCCCTCGCCTCAGAACAGTGCGGTTCGCTCGCCCTTACCCGGGGAGATGCTCCTTGCTCAGAGCTGGGGCTGCGAAAGGGCTACGAGTGGGCAAAAGTCAAACTTCTGGAGTGTCACAGATACGTGTTCTAGGCACCAAAAATATGGCTGCTGAGGGCACCACGGGCGCAGAAGCACAACACAGTTGCCGTTCGCATCCAACCATGTTTCACTCAAAAACTGTCCCGCTCCGCCACGGGTCACCCCCGTAAGTCCAACCCATCCTCTTGGCCACCCATCTGCAGGACTGGATCTTTCTGGCAGAATCTTTGGCACAGGTTCCATGGTTTATTGTCATAAAAGATGATTAGAAAGTAGGTTTCCCTCCCACCCCCACCCCCAGTTACATAGTCTAGTATAAATTTAAGTCTTTTCTGGCAAATATCTTACTTTTTGAATATGTTTACATGCTGGAAAAATTGTAATCAGTCTGCATGCAGCAACAGAGACATCATGCTTCCGGCGTCGTCATGCACATCTGACAGACAAAAAGTGCCTATGGCTGCTAACATTAACGAGGCAGAAGGGAAAAAAAAAGGAAAATGCACCAACTACTATTTTACATGCTGTAACAAAACCAATATATGCACAAAAAATATTTACTGATATTTGAAGTAATATCTTCTGGTAAGTCGTAAAAGGAAATACCAAAATTTTTTATCTAAGTGATAGGAGAGGAGAAGATTGCATTAATTACAGTGTTCATCATTGCAAATAAAGTCTATTTCCTTCTCTGTAAGTAATAAGCAGACGTGAAATGAAAGCCTAATTGAACCTCGTATAAAACCTGCAGGTAGCAATTATTGTTTAAAAGTAGATCTACTTTTAAAAAAAGAGATTATACCCTAAGCCATTAACAATATCCAAAACCTAAAGTAAAAACCAAAACAATAGCAATAAAACATTTAGCTAAATCTAAATGATGTCATTCAGAACAAGAACTTTCACAAGTAAAGCACAATTTGTTTTATAAAATTTTTATAATACTCTTTATGCTTGATACGATTATGTCAATAATATAGATCTGCTTATTATTAACCCTTATTATTAAGAGTTATTACTAAACATGCAAAATTCATTGCATGAAGCATATGTAAAATGTATTAAATTCCATTCTAACAATAAAACAAGTTTTAGGTGCTTCTTTCAGGCTTGATTATTCTACAGCCCCAAGTTTTCTGAATTAAAACTGATTATCTTAAGAGTAAATCTCACTTGATTTTCATGAGTTATTCCGGAGAAATCAGGAAGTCACTTGGGGCTGCATTTTTTGTTAATTTATTACATATAATGCTTTCGTAGATTTACTGCCCTATACTGCAGACTATAAATAACCACATGTAAATAAGATTTAAGGGATTACAGTTTTGGTTTACATTCCAGGTTAACAAATTTCATAGTAAAATATTGGTATTAGAACCGGTTAACAGTAAACTTGAGGGGTGGTGAAAATTAAATTAACTGAACAAACAACGGCACCCTGGATCACAGAATAATCTCATGGAGATTAAAATTCACAAAAATATTATTAAAATTATTACTATTATTATTATTTTTATTAAAGACAAAATTTCACCCTTGAGTTTATCACATGCTACTTAGCAAAGATCCTAGAGATCTGGCCACCGCCGAAGTGTGTTTAAGCTTGGTGTCGCTTACAGGATCGGTTCACGAAGCCTCAGGGTCGAATTGGGATTTTATCCCCCCTCCCCTCCCACCCACTCCCAACTTGTTTCTGTTGTATTTTCGAAACAACTACTTTCAACGATTTTTTTGCAATGCCTCTCCTCCCCGGTGCCGCCGCCGTTTCGGTCTCTTGTGCTGCGCATCTCCCCGACGTCACTGGGCAGAGCGGGGAGGAGCGGTCCCTCGGGCACAGCGCTCCCAGCATCCGCACCACAGGACTGAATAGTCCAGGTTGGTTGGGTTTTGTTGGTTTTTTTTTTCAGACTGCGTGTTAAGATTATTTCTAATACAGCAGAATGGAAAAGGGAGCAAAAGGACAGCGGGGAGTTACAAAAATATGTAACGTACCAAAAAACGGGTAAGTTTAGACAAGTCAGTGGTGACTTCTAAGAAAAAGTGGGCACCATACACTGATTTATCTCCCATTAAGACAACATAGCTCTTGCAAAGCCAAAATCCTGAACAAGTGGCCTTTCCCCCACCTTACACTTTCTAACCCTACAATTTCCAGGCCCAAATGGAATCAACAAGGCAAAAGCCTAAAAATTGTAGGGTTAAGGACTGTCCCCACTGTGGGATTTGTTCCTGTTCTGCTGTTTCATGCTACATTTTGTAAAAGGGGGTGCACGAACTGGGGGTTGACGTAAGAGAACCCTTCAAAATCTGTTTGGTCTATGTTAGCAATGACCAGCTGATCCGGAGGTGTTAACACCGGCTGTCCTCGTGTAAAGAATTTATCGAAGTTTTCGGCACCTTTGCCACACTGCAAGAAAAAAAGAAAAAGAGAAAAAAGGCTGAAAAAATCAGCAATACATTGGCAGTTCCAGCTTTTTTGCAGATTTTTCAGGATACATGCAAGGCTTTCCCTCATTTCTTATGAGTACGGAAGAGGAAAGTTTTGTTTCAGATATTTTAACAACCCCCCCCAGAGAAACAGAAGTTTTAACAGATGAATTCTCATGAAAAACAGAGTTGGAAAAGTTCCCATCCAGTAGCATGAGGTGACAAGGTGAAGAGGCTTAAATATTCAGAATTACTGGGATAAAAAAGGAAGAAGAAAATATTTCTATGGCCAAGCATTGGCAAGAGATACTTTATCTGTGAAGTCATTTCATTCTTCTTAAAATCTTTACGATGCAAAATCATATTTTTGTCTTAGACTCTGTTTCCTTCACGATCTGCAGAAAGCTTAATGTAATTCATTTATATGTTTTGATTCCTCATTGTACAGCCAATAAACAATCGTAAATTCATGTAGGACAGCAGAGCTCCAGTCCTGGGGACTGCAGGAGGGCACTGGGGCAGGGAGCGCACCCGGGAACAGGTCCCCATTACAGAAAGTGTTATCACAGGTTTCCTCCTCTTTTTTGGTCTAAGAGACACGTTGCCTTGTGAAGCCCAGCCGAGAAGGGGCATTATATATAGCTACACGCTGAACACAACTCATTCCCAACAGAAAACAAAAGAAATCTGGTTTGTGAGAAGGATAGTTTCGAGTAACGCAGAAAAGACTTGGAAGGCAGGGAAGTATGATTAGAGGCAAGTTAAAAAGCATAAAAACGGGACCAGAACAAAATTAGCTCGGGTGCAAGAGAAAAAATGCATATTTGAGGAGAACTAGGCATTGGACACTGTGGAGAGGTCTAAAGGAAACTGGTAAATCTGCTTATCTCAAAACTATCCACTACAACAGATCTTTGAACAAAGTGCAGTTGTACGATAAAGGTACTGAACGTTCCTTCCCTCTGCCCTGACCCCGTCCTCTCTATCCATCCCTACAGGAGAGCTGCACCATCAAATACTTTTGTTAGTGAACATATCTACATGTGGATTCAGAGGATAACACTATGTATCACCTTCAGGCTTAGAGGATAACTTGGGAAGGGCAGAAGATGGCTCATACAATAGATAATACTAAACATTGATTCTTCTGAGCTAATGCAACACGAACACAGCTGCGCATTTATAGGAGAAACCAACTGACGAGGGGCCCATTAAGGGTATCTGAGGGTGAGGCATTTGGCTGTCTTGGAAACAGCTCAGTCACAGTTTCCAGTCTTCTTGCAAAGCACCCAGCACGTCCTAGACTGGGACACGCCATCCGATCTGAGCTGCAAAGAACTTTTGCTGCCTCGGGCACAAGTTGGTTTATATTTCAGATGAAAAACTCATGCTCAGGTACTGGACCGCAGTGCTCGCAGGAGGACGCTTGTTCAGTCTGGGAAGAACACAGGCAGAGGGACACTGCAATGGGTTAAAGCTACTGGTAGTCTGCTTCTTCCATGCAGGGTTCTGCACTCACCACATACCCTGGTGCCCCCTGAAGCCAATGCATTTTGGTACAGAACCTCTGGAGAACAAGAACAGATGGAGGGGAACTTTGACAAAGGGAAAACTCTCCGCCATTGGAATGGAAGTTGATGTATCCCCAAATTAATAGTTTAACAATTTATTTAGAAGCAGTACTGTCAACTCAGAGCAGCAACAACAGGACTGTTTATACAGGGAAGACTTTTTGCGAAAAAGATGTTCTACAGATATCACAGAATTGTTATGGCTGGAAAAGACCTTTAAGATCATCAAGTCCAATCGTTATCTAACTCTACCAGGCCCACGTCTAAACCATGTCCCTGAGCAATCCCTATTTGTTCAGAAGGTAGTAAAAAAAGCTATATATCAAAACCAAAGTTCGCTGACTCCATTAAGCCTCTCACTACTGCTTATACTAGTAGAGGCTAAGAAATAACTCATGTGAAATTTGGGTATTTTTTGGGTGTGAATGTAATCATTTATCAATAAATTTTCATCTTCAATTACATATTTGTCTTCACATTAAAGAGTAGCATTGCCATCAGGTGTGTTAATGCTGTATCAAAGCAGAACTGAAAATACGGGACTCCTGAACTCCTAAACTTACAAATACGAGTAAAATGTCCTTCTTGCCAAATAATCAGTCCATGCCTATAGCCTGTGAAATGTCAATCTGGAAGGGAACACATTATTTAAACTGACCAACTGCTGACCCAAAATCTGCAGCTCCATGTTGGAGTGAGAACTGTGCCTGTGTGAAAAAGCAGCAGGATTATTCCTGCAGCAATGTGCTTCCTAGAGAAGACGCACCTAGAAAGGTTTTCTGAGGAAAAAACCCCACCCCAGACAAAGCCAATAAATACTCCATATCTTCAAACAGATTAAGGGTCATGTGCTTTGTGCTTTCTAGAATCCATATAAATAGAATCAGCAATCACAATAAATGAGTTATACACAGGGTATGTAAATATCAGACTTGCATTTTAAATTATTTTCATCTGGGAAAGTTGGGCTCCATGTGAACACGCTTTGGTGTATTTTAATAGCAGCCTGTATAAACAAAACAGGTCATGATAACCACGGAGATGGAGCAGAGCTGCTCTAAGCATGAGCCAGGATCTGCCACCAAACGTGCTGTGATGGAACCAGAGCACACCCCAGGCTTTCAGCACCTTCATGCTGGTATTACTTTCAACTTCAAGGAGAGTCTACACACTCAGTTCCTGAGCTAATAAAACTTAGGGATGTGAAGGTAGATTTGCTTTACGATCAGCTTTAAATTTGACTCAAGAAGCTCGTAATGAGAATCTTCCATAAAACATGCTTTAAAGAGTTGCAGGTCCCCTTGGGATGGAGAGCCCTGGGGACCGGCCGGGCTGGGGGGACACACCACCTGGGGGACACCACCCTTCCCTCCTGCAAAACCCACACCACGCGGAAAGGGCATTTCCCCTAGCACAGGACACTTCACAGCATGCAAATCCCCTCCTGGTGATGTGAAAAAGTCATTTGTGTGCAAAAAAAGAGGAATATATTCTGCCACTGAGTAGCGGCCTCCCTGTGTTCATTAGTTAGTGCTACCACACTACTGTGTCTGTGTCGGTGAATAAATCAGTGCACAGACTGACGAGCCCACACCTGCAGTGCTACAGCCAGCTCAGTGTCTCAGTTGAAACAAAACCGCGTTAGAGAAGAAAGATTCAATGTCAGGACATAATGATTTACCGCTCGTCCTGAAAGCTGAAATTCTTGTGTGCAAATACTTTTCTTTGCCCGTCAACAGAGCACGGTACATGCTGAAGGAAATTTGGTACCAACAAATACAGCTCTTCAAATTATATTACGCAAACAGGTTCTCACAGTAAGGACATCTCTCACTGGTTTGGATTTCTAAAATATTCCTACAGATACATGTGTGCAAACCAGTAAAAAACATTAAAAATAAATCAGGGATTATTCTCACAAACTCAGCAGATGTCACTCCAGGATGGGGAATACAACCCCCCTTGCTGTGTCACCCACCATGGAGGAAATTCACCCCAATAATTCAGATACCTTTAATCACTGACTTTGGATGCTGTTCAGAGAAGACAGTTGGGAACAGCATTTATTACAGGTCTCAAGTGGCTGATGTGCATATGCCAGTTTTTCCCCGTTTTCAGCATCTCACGCAGCGCGTGACCGTCCAGCCAGGACTCAAACCATCGAGCGAGTTTTTCACAAGGAACAAAGTACACTGGGTCATGCTACAGGGTGCCCAACCATGAGCAGATTTACAGACTGGCCTGCCATATTCAAATTGCCTTATTTTAGAAGTGTCCCAGATCTGCAGCACCATCCAGCCAGCAGTAATCTCCCCCCACGGGAAGGCACGACTGCCGACGCATTTAGCGAGGGAAGTACTTGGCGTCTCACTCACCACTTTAGGTTTGAAAGGTGGCTGGATCTCTCTACTTTCCAGTTTCTCCCAGTCAATTCTCCTGAAGAAAGCATGTTCCCTGATGTCTCTTTCACCTTCAAGGCCACAGCCAAGGCGTTTTGCGGGATGTTTAGTCATTAGCTATTAGGAAGAAAACACCGCATGATTAAATTTAACGCTGGAATGAAAGTGAGACAGAGTTTCCCCAGACAGCGATGCTCTTGCTCCTCTCCTGAAGATGCAAGTTGCTAATAAAATTGTTTTGAAAAGCTAAAATTCATTTTTTGAAGATTAGTTTTCTTTGATTACTGGAGACAGCACATCAGCAGCAAAATGAAGGGTTGCGCTTGAGAACATTTTCCCTTTCGGCAGAGGTTGCCGCTGGGGCTGCGGGTGGGCAGGCGGTGCCTGAGACACAGTGCCATGGTATTAGTGCACAACCCACTCCTGAATTTCACCTTTGGTCTTTCAGTTCAGTCGTACAAATCCCTAGAACAGCTTCTGCCCTACCTCAACAATCAATTAAACTTAATAAATTCCAATATACCCTTTCATTTTTATGGGCTTGTTCAAGACATCTCATTACAGAGCCTACAATTTCTTGGCACCCAGTTGACAATATCTAATCTGCGTTTCCTCCCTTGCATCCTTAATGACTTCTTGGTCAATACTATATCCAGCTGCATAGATTAAGCAGACTTGGGAAAAAAAAAACAACCCAAACCCACCAGCACTGCATGCTTGGAAACAGTGATATGCTTCTTAATTAACAAGCTCTTCAAAATCTTTTCAATTGATATGTACATTAGGAACTGAGTGATGTAGCCTTCAACTCTTGGATCCAGTATTGTGGGGACCTCTTAAAGCTCTTCTCAAATTATATATGATTAATATACTGCTGAGAGTGATACCTCAACACATCTTTTTAAAACCTCAGCTGTACCACTTCAGTCTCCCTCCAAATGTTGAGTTGATCACATTCCAATTTTGAACCTAAAATAAAAGCGACTCTAAACAGACTTTGGGAAGTTGGCTGTGCGCTGGGACAGGAATCACATCCCGCGTCAGGCTTAACAGCAACGCGCCCATTTTTGTTACCTTTTCTAAACCCCTGGCATTAACAGCAGAGGATAGAAGAAAACGTGAATGATTCTAGCAGTTTTAACTCTGTTCCGAAGTTACTGCATTTACCAAACCCAACAACCTGCGAGCCAGGGGAATAGATGTCAAGCAGACAATTCAATTTCACGAGCACAGCGGGCACGTTTGTCTTGCCTGACGGTGCACAGTCCCGGATTGCTGAGCTGCTGCTGACTACAAGGTTCAGGAGCTTTCGCATACTGACTTCTTAGCTCAGGCATAACGCTCACTGAAATTTGGGATTAATTTGTTAGTTTAATACAGGTGATGAACGTGTTATTGTGACAGAGACTTGACCTCACACCCAGCGGCGCAATGCAGTTTTAGCTTTTTGCCCTCCCTTTGCATAAGCACCGACCAGAACAGCAGCACGCAGGAGCGCTGAAAACACGGTCATTAGATCAGGTTCAAACTGTGCTGTTTGAATATGTGATTTTCACGACAAGGCATCAATCTACAAGCACTTTACAAAATTATATCATGTTTTGTTTTTGTTGGCCAGCATATCTACACCGGGCTAGGCTCCAAAATTAGAGTGGTCTTTCCTTCTACTTGCTTGTTCTAAACAGCTTTTCTTTTTCTTGATGATTTTTCTTTAAGGAATTAACATCCAGCTCATGTCCAATACTTCATAAATGATTGCAAAGGAGAGGAAGAAAGTAAATACCAAATTAACTGACACTAAGTGCAGTGATATTTTATCAGTGTAAGTAAGACATCAAATAACGCTATATAGACGGTGGTTTGGAAAAGCTGCAGACTGACAGTACTCTCAGGAATCACGCGGAGTCAAAGGAAAGTCAAATGAATTTGCTTTTCCTGAGCTAATCCCCTGAAGTCAAATGTATTCTTTTCTGAAAAAAAAATTAAATAATATTAAATTAAGTTGGAATCTAAGTTTTAGGCCACACAGGTTACCACCGGGTCAGGATTTCCCCACAATTTCCTTGCATTTACACTAAGGATTTTCGCATAAGCTCATCTTTACCTACATTTAAAAATGAATTGCATTAACTCTTTTGCTCTGCTGCTGTCATTAGGCACACTGGGCTGAGGACTCGCTGGAGCATCTGGTATCCATCCAAGCTGAGAAATCTCCTCACCCCACAAAACCGGGGTTGTGCTGCCGAGGGCTGAGAGGAGGCACGGTGGGTGGAGACGCTTCACACCATCGTCCTGTTTATAAATTCTGCTTTGGATTTGTCAGCTACTGCTTGTGACATTTGTTCTTACCATAAACCAAGCAGGCATAGCGGGAAGAGCTGAACACTTATCAGTGACGCCAGGCAATAAGCACTTCAGGACAACATAGCTTGGCACAGCCTGACAGAAGCTGCACTTAAAAATACTACAGTGCCATACCAAAGCCAGACAAATTTAGTTATTCACAAGGATTGCCAAAAAAGAACTTAATGATAAAGAAGCATCTATCTCACCCCCTTGCAGATGGAAACAGCTTCTTTGGACAGTGATTTTGGATAGGAAACATTATGCTCCATTATGGACTGGAAAAGTTCATCTTCATCTTCCCCATCAAATGGAGGCTGTTGAAAATAAATCACAGGTAAGTTACTTGTTGTTTGTTTCTTTTTTTCTCTTTTTAAATTCTCCACTTTTTATGAAATGGCACAACAATACTATGGCCATGCTGGGTCAAGTCAAAGGTGCATCCAGCCCAGCAACCCGTCTCCAGTCCATCACAGATGCCCAAAGAGATCAGTACCCAGCAGTGGTCCTTGCCCAGGAGCACACACCAAACTCCCCACCATCGGCACCTTGGCATCTTCTCACCCAGAAGCTTAGTGTTTATTTCTCAGGTAGAAACGGAGGAGAAAAGTTTGTTTCTGCCCCCAGCAAGGCAGCCAGGCTAATGAAACGTCTGCAGGATTATCTTCACGATCACCTTTAATCAGTTTTTAAAGCTACTGTGCACCAGACAGCCAAAATACTTCAAAGGGTGAAGTTTGGAGACTGTAACTTTCAATTACCTTGTGTCAAGGTAATTCCTCACTTAATTTCAGTTAAAATCCAGTTTGTTTTATAAAACATGGCTGTAGACTCTGCTTCTGTGAAGGGGAGACTGTATCACAACCAAGGGCTGCATTTCAGTTTCAAACATAGGTGATGAGGAAAGTGCCCGTGGGTGAGTCCCCGGGACACAGGCACTGTGCAAGACTCAGCCGACGGTAAAGCTCGTTTTCTCAAAAGCATTCAAATGCCTAATATTTGCAATGCAGACTGTCAGCGCTAACAACTGCAATTGCTACACTTTAAAAACTTTTAAAATGTCGACTAGAATTTAGTAGAGAAATTATTAAAGCCATTTGTTAAAAATGTATGTTTTAAGCTTAGGAAATGCACGCCTTTAGCGAACAGTCGTTGAAAGCAAATTGCAGAAATCTTTTCCAACTCAGGACCAATAGAATTCCTTAAAGTTGGCATTTATCTACCATTTACTGCAGTACAGTGCTGCTTTTCCACTTGAGTGACTCGGAGAGCAGTGTCTCATTAACTGTGCAGAATAAGGGGTCTGTAGCTGAGCATATTTCAAGGGGCGAGACCCATACTTTACCCCGAGGACACACAACACAAAAACTGTATTCTTGTGACTTAGCCACAATGCAGAGCGTACACACACTCTTATTATGTTTCCCTGTGGTTTCAAACTACTAAATGGTATTTCTTCCATTTGACATGCATTTTCCTGCTCAAGTGTCTCCCATTCAATTTTGAAGATGGCTATTTATAACATTATTGCAGTAGAAAGAAGCCGTATTCAAAGGCAGTGCTTGATTATGTGGGTGCAATATAAAGAGCTTAAAGCCTAAATGGAGTCAGTCAAGAGTACAAGGAGATAATATAAGTACGAAAGGCCCCGGTCTTGTCCCCTAAACCCTTTACGGAGCCTTGAAAGAGAGCAGTGTTGGAGAGGCGGGAGGAGGTCCCAGCGAGCACGGGAGGGTAACTCTTACCTGGCCAGCCAACATCTCGTAGAGCAGCACTCCGTACGCCCACCAATCCACAGACTTCCCATAGGGCTGGTAAGCGATAATCTGTATAATCACAAAAAAAAAACCCAAAAACAAAAACAAAGGAAAACCCCGTATGTTAACTAACACCCAGTCTTATGACGTTAAACAAATAGCAACATACAGAGATGAACATATTTCCTTGAAAAAGCCCAGAAAGCGAATCCTGTCATCCTCCCTCCAGCGAATCACTGGTTTCAGTGGGAGTTGGATTGTTTTGCAAATGTTAGTCTAAACCCATCCGCATCTTTTGGTACTCCAGTATCTGGGGAAATGCAGCTCTTAGGAGACCTCGGGATGTGCGTTTGAAGGCAAGGAAGGAAGTACAGCAGCACAATGTAGGAGACAAGGCAAAAATGTTACTCATCCATTTGTGACAAAGCTCGAAACCATGAGACTCACTTAACTTACAGATTTTCAATAATTAAGCCTTTCTTTTCTCTTTAATATTTCTATTTTTGTTCTGCTGTAAAAGGAATCAATATTTAAGAAAAGAGCATAAACCCTGAAAAGCTCAGTTACATTTTCCCAAGTTCCATGATTAAGATACTCTGAGTATGAAGCCAGATACCAGCTACACCAAAGAGAAAAAAAGAAAGGGGTTTCTGCTGTTCGGCATAATGGAAATGTGAAGTATTTTGCATCCTCTGGGTTCACATCTGACTCATATAGAAGCAGAAATTGAGTTCTGACACAATGAAAAGCTGCAAGTGCCAGCAGCACGCAGGTCCCCTCGTGCGTCATTTTCTTTAATCGAGGCCTCTTCAGAGAGCAGTGTTAATTTATTTAAGAGATGCGTTTGGGCATGCTACAGAGGAGTTTTGAGGTGCAGATGTTCTCTTAGATCTCCTTCTAAATAACCGTGAAGAGATAAGTGCATCATGAAGGGATGCGGGACGTCCCAGCCACTGTCCATCCACAGCACCACTCCATAGAATAAGCAGAGAACCGAGGAGCCGTCACTCCAGGTGGGCTCGCATTCATTTTCCTGTTTGCATGTGGTTTTACTCTTTGTGAAACAAACTGCTCAGACAAGTACACAGCACATATTGTAGCATTTTTAGTTGTGCGGAAGAGAAGTTGAACCAGCAAGTTTTGTAGTTTCTCAGGAAAATACTGAGTCACCAGTTCGATAACGCAGGACTGCGTGGCTACTAAATAAAATTAGAATCCTATGTGAATGTATGTTCTTCGCTGGGGTAACAGCAGTACATGAATTAATAACTATTGCAATGTTTCTAAGCAAAAGATTTCAAAATTAATCGCACTTCTAAATACGTTACACAACCAGAGGCAGTAACAAGATTCTCAGCTGGAAGGCCCTACACAAAGGCAATCTTTATTAGTTGTCTTTTAGCAGTAATGTCCGCTTTAAAATATATATTTGGGACATTAATTTCATATTATAGTGGTTGACATACTTGGTCACTCTCCCTTTAATTTCTATCACCAGTAAGTTCCTGGAGGTCCACTGGAATCAATGGTGCTTCTTGAAAGACCAAACACTTTCAAAATTTTATCCAGAAACAATACTGGCCTGTACACACAGAAAATGATAAAACATTTCATCCTCAACCCTTCTCTGACAATCTCTCCTTGCCTTATGGAAAAGACTATTTTATCAAAAAAAAAAAAAAAAAAGGATAATTTTTCAGAAGGTCATTAATTTATAAGGGCAGAACGTTTTGTACAATAAGTGCGCTTCATCTCAGTGGCTTTGGTAGGAACAGTTAATTTCAATTATCAAATGAGAAAAAGATGGATCCACAGCAGACAGAAAGAAAACACTGTTACATCGCCATCGTTCGCAACCTGGCAGTCAGGTCTGTCCAGGAGGCCACAGTCCACTTCTCTTCCTGTTGTGAAAGACTTTGATGGGAGTGTTGAAAAGAGGAAATCTTTTAAATACGGTACTGCAATGTCATAAAATGAAAGATGTAACAAAGCACAACCCAGTGATGCTGTTTGTTTATCCAGCAAGAGGTGAGTCAAGATTGGGTCGTTCTCTAAATAGCATTCTCATCAGCAACTGTAATCTGCCCCAATTAAATCTGCCTTTGTGAGAGAATATCAAGCAGAATCATCAAGAGAGACAGAATTAAGATGAAAAAAACTCCTACATTTAACCTAATATATGGTCAGAGTCACCAAATTTTTTGTCCTATTTGATGCCACATGTCAACATCAGCAGAAGCATCTGACGAAGACAGCAGTGCCCCCTCCAAGCTGGCACACAGCTCCCACGCCTGAACCAGATGAAAGAATGGGGCTTGAGAAATAAATATGAACACCAAGTTCCACTAAGACTGGAAAGGTCCCACTGCAAATGCAATAAAACCACTTTTTTCATCGAACCTGTCACAATGTAGTAAAAGGCGGTACTGTCCATGTCTGCTGCTGGACACCAGAAGTTTTTTTCCTTTAATCCTAATTAAATTCACCCAGTTTGAATCACCAGCTTAATCCTGGTAAGGATATGATACAAGTGAAACCCAGAAAAGCAATCTGCCACGTTCATTCACCAACCTGCGTGTCATGCACGGAAACCGGCGGTTATACTCCTAATACTGGGAGTATTCAAAGCATTAATTGGAAAATGTAAACGGGAGGAAAGAACGCTCACTTCAAGGAAGGAATTACATGTGGGAGGAAGCAGATGAGTTTTCAATATACAGTCAAACATGCATTGGTACAAAGTCAGCAAGTTATAAATGTCGTATTTTCAGTAGTTCCCTCCTCCTCATCCAGAAATCATCATGTATTACCTACCAGCTGCTGCACTCAAAGCCATCACTGGCTGCCTTGCAGCAACGCCAAAATAATCCTATCTCTGTGTACAAATTTTGGTATCTTTTAGAATAATGATGATCTCCTATCTCACATAGGAGATAGGAGATGATCTCCTATCTCACTGCAGCGTGCAGAGCAGACCCACAGAGCAGCGAGGGAGTTCATGTGCCTAGAAATGAAGACCTGTACCCTGCTCCAGCTATGACCTCTGCTTTCTACTGGCCAAGGAGGAGTGGAGAGTTGATAGGACGTTTTCCTTCCCCTCCTTCTCCACCATTAATTTAAATTATTGCCTTTTTCATCTCCTCCTTTATTTCACGTGTCCCATTTTCCCTACCTATTACTGTATTTTAAGAGTTCTGCCTTTTCAGATTCCGCGGATTTGAGAGCTCAGGAGGAATTTCTCTCATCAAGCCAAACTGGCAGAGGAATGTTGATTCCTTTTTTTCTTTCTTTTTTTCCATTTTGCCTCCAAGGAAGGCACAGTTAAGAACAGGACACAGAGATTAATACCAGCAATTTGCAGGAATGTTTAGATCATTGCCGCTTGCAGCTGGTAGCCAGTTGGGATGAAAAGATTATATCCCACAGGCAAGAGAAAATATTTTGTGAACATATCTTGCATCTACTGGAAAAGTTAAAACTCAGTTATTAAAAGAAATAAATATTACTGGTACGAGAAACAGTCAAATGTACACTTTCCAAACCTTTGTAATACATATCAGCCTCCCATAATCCCGGCAAATGCAAGGTTAGAACTTAAGGTTTTGAGGCTATTAGATGGAGGAGAAGGGGAACGGAGTTTCTAATTTAAATTCTCCTGAAATTCAAAGTCAGTGCTCTAGCTGCTGCAAGGATGCTGATGGTGGGGTTCGGTACTGCACCACAAGCAGAGGGCTGTGCCAGCAGGATCCCTTCCCGCTAATCTTCTTGACATCCATCTCCTTCTGTCTCTCTTGACTGGCCAAGGAAATACAAAGTATTAATTGATTTCATGGCTATTTCACTACTCTGATCATAAATATTTAAGTTCAGCCCATTAATAAATGTTCTTTACTAGATAACCACTTTCTGCCTTACAGAAGTGGTCAAACCAGGAATTCTACCAGTTTAACCTCGGCACATTTCTCAAATTGCAGAGGGTAAGAAAATGAATAGTAATTCCAGTGCGTTATACACCTAAGTAATCACAAATACTGACTTTCCCAATCATTAAAAAAGGAAAGTATTATTCTACAGCACACCAAAGCGTGCAAGTCCACTCTGCTGAATGCAGTACTATATTCTCCTGCTCCTCAGTTCGGAGATCACATGTGTGAAGCCAGCTGAGATGTCCCTGGATGGTCTTTCCAGCCGTATCATCTCTGAACTAGCTCTGTGGGTAGTTCACGTAGAGGCAGGACGAGCTCCCTCAGACCCCACCATAGCCACAACTTTATTTCCCAAATACTGATGAAAAGAGCTAATTCTCTATGTTTGAGTGCAACACGCTCACAGGACTACTCTACGCTAGATACCTTCAGCAGTTTATTTAGATTTAGCTCATTTATCTCCACCCAGCAGGGAATGGTACCGTGCAAAAGCATCCTCATTATAATCTATTATAAATTTATAAATTTTAGCCCATGGAAACCTGCTAAAATGTTCCTGCAAGCAAAACATGAACCTTACTTTGAAGTTTACCACAGACCTAGTTAGCAATTTGTCAGTCACAATAATGCGTTTCGAAATGAAAGAGAATCAGCCAACTAAAAAAAATAACAAAATGTCTGCTTGTAAAGTAATAGAAAGACTGATTTCCTCCCAGTTACTGAATGTTTTGGTAAAAGGTTTATTTCTTTATATGAAATTTCCAAATAAAGTAAAATAAATCATTCCAACACTGACCCATATTGAGCATTTTGGCACTGACAACATGTTCTTTGGTATTATCTGGCACAAGACTATTGCCACAGAAAGGACACTTTTTAATTTGTAATATTGGCTTCATTTATGTTTTGACAGGAGAAAATGAAATGCTGCTCTGGTTGTTCTGATATCCTGCTCCAAGCAACAGCAATTTGTGAAAAAACAACGTTCTATAATACACAATATTTCACTCTGAAAAGCATGAATTAGCAACTGGAAAAAAACAAACGATTTTTCATTCCAGTTTCACAGAGATGACAAAATTCACCTTAGACACTAATTTACTTGCCCATGTGTAAATCTCCCATATTCCAACAAACATTCAGCTACAGCCAGAAATGTTCCAGCCAGAGCTGCCTCTCGCCCAGCACTCAGCGGAACACCGAGCGGCGCGGAGCAGGATACAGCCCCTCGCGCTGAATTTGCAGCCAAACAAATCAAGACTCTGGAAAGCTCAGTATGCACAAATACCAAATTTTAATATTCATATTTTTGAATCACTTCCAAATCACCACATGTGCTTGTTTTTAATGTTTTATACCTAAACTGCTGAAATAGAAATCATATCCAGACTCAAGATCTTAACTCTAAGCTTGTATTGTCACAGTGCTTTAAAGTAGAACTGTGTTTCTCATGAACAAATTTTCATTTTCGAGACGCTGCAGTTAGGTTTGTGTTTGAATGTGATGTTCAGTGGCTCGAACGCAGCCCAGGTATCGCCAAGTCACAGAAAACTCAAGTCCAATTATGGATTTATTCCACCAACTCCGTTCAAGCCCTGATCTCATAGCTTAGTTGGGGCTTTCAATGACTGGAGCTTTCCTGAGATCCAAAGCAGTAACTCAGGACACCTCTGTACCATTTGTAAGACATGGCCTGGGAAAGACTACAGTAGTTTTGCAGGAAGGTCTGTGAAAAGCTTCAAGACCTCATGAGTCCCTTCCCCAAAATCAATGAGCGGTTTGTGATTTCCTGAAAATGCCAAACAATCCTTTAAATGGATGTATCCTGTCAGCTGTGTGAACTTATGGAGAAATACATTAAAGAAGCTGTGTGTGCTCCCAATAAAATGTTTGCTGACCTCAACAACAACCTCAACAATGCCCACAAACTCTCCATAATTTCACAACTTGAAGCACAAAGTCCTTAATAATAACAAATGTTATTATACATTTCCAGGCTACAATTTAAAATCACAAGGTAGTGATCCAGCTTTTTAGTCTTTTGCTAATATGAACAAAATCTGAAGTACCGATCTCATAAAAAGTTAGGTTGCCAATCAACTAGGGATTTTTTAAAATCATGAAGTCTTATTGATAATGTTGTATTAATTCACAGTTATTCAATATACCTGCAGAAGCATAAATGGTACCATCCACAGAGTATCCGGAGTTACAGCTATTCAAACTTGGTGGTGTACAATGTGCACAGAGACTAAAAGGTTCTTGAAATGGTAAATATTTACCTCTGGAGCAATGTAGTCTGGAGTGCCACAGAAGGTCCTGGTTGTTACTCCATCTAACATATGTTCTTTGCACATTCCAAAATCAGCAATTTTAATGTGTCCTTCAGAATCCAACATCACATTATCTAATTTCAGATCTCTATGAAGAATCACAGTAATTTAATGTTAATGTTTGGGATCAACTAGGGCCAATTTATCTACTTCCCAGTCTAGGTGAGGAACGTGTGTAGCTATCGGGGGGGCAGAGGGGACAGGGGTGCACACGCGCGGCAGTCTGCAGTCCGGAGGGGGCTGAGCACCTCACTGCAGATACATAAGAGCCACCATAAGCCCCGAAGCTGGACAACTGATGAAGGGACGGATGTATATGCCCATGAGCACACTCACACTGAGGCTCCTGAGCAACATCCCACAGGAATGCAGAAGGTAATACCGTACACTTTCGCACTGAGTTAGGCAGAGCACAGACGTCGGAAAAGCTCAGGTAAAGCAGTGGCTTTGCTTTACAGTGCACCAACACAACAAAATGAACACTACAGCGATGGCTTTTTAGAAAACATTTTAAAAATGCACCGAAACATTAAAGAAACCGATCCTTTTGGGATTTTAGAAATCGTTCAGAAATTACTTATGTCAGATGATACTCACCTATAAATAATTCCTCTGTTATGGAGAAAGAATAACCCAACTGAGATCTCGGCTGCATAGAACCTGCGTGAAAAAGAAAACCAACAGATTTCTTATTGCATCGTGATTTCCTTCTGACAAAATATTTTGAGAATGCATCATGGTAAAGAATGTTAGTATAATAGCATATAAAGTATAATATACATTTTTATACTTTAATATATATACACACTATATATTACGAAGTATAAATATATATATTACAAGCAGATGACATAAAAGATACCTTACTTCAGTTTGACCTTAAGGGGTATTTCGAGTATTTCACGATAAAATAATGCAGAATTTTAAAAAAAACTTCTCCCTAGACCAGAAAAAGTGGAGCACAGCATTTTACTGCGCTGATCTGACTCCGTCTGCAAAGGTCATTATCTCTAATCACATATCAATGGTGAATTCAGGATGCAGCTCAATTTACATTGCAATTCACATGGCATGAAATAATTTGCAGAAATAGTATCCTTTATGCAGGCTGTTAATGGATTAATTACATAAAGCTAATTCAAATGATTACCATATAAAATTTAACTGCTGACTGTAGTTAAAGGTTATATAATATTGATGGGTGTTTGAAGCCAGTTGCTGTGGAACTGTTCAAATTATATGCGAGGGGATTATTTAAAGATAAGATTAATTTTAAGGCTGGCATAAGGGAAAGGAAAGCTTCGCTCCGGAACACTTGATCAGAGGTGTTTGTGAACACGTGTGCCTGAAGACGCTCCACAGGCGTAAGCTGTCATGAAGCACCACAGTTTTCAACGAGTGTTGGCAAGTTACATTAGCTGGGAGTCAAGGATGATGTGACACCATCTAGTTTTTATTCAGCAAGTTGTTGAAATTTTGTTCTATATCTCAAATACTTATATTTAGAAGGCCTCTCATTTAAACAAGCCCTGATTACTCAAATCAAAACGAGAAATTATTTTAGCTGAACTCTTAAAGCAGTTGGTCACACTTCATTTTAAAGTTTCATTGGTAAATGATTTATGAAACAGTAATAAATGATGATGAGATGTTATAAGCATGACTAAAATGGTCCTGATGGATCTATTCACATTTGAATATGCTACAGATCATTATCAGTTGCTCCCTGATATGCCAGATGTACAATTACCTGAAAGGGACCATGTATATAAACAATTTTTAATCATTTATTAACTCCTCACAAATAAAAATTCTATTAAAAAGTAGGATCACAGAAATTCTCATAAGCTATACACTGAATTTATCTTGTACAAACTGTAATTTATATTGCTATGCTATTTGTGTTGCCTTTCCCTATAACATTAATTCACACTGAAATGTTCTCCTCACTTCTTTTTTTATATTCGCTTTTAAAAACAACACCAGAATACCAAGTAACACCTTTAATTTCCTGTTACCTTGTTTAAATTCTTGTCACTTTTAAAGTAGGCACTGCACGCCTTTGTTCATGCTGTATTTTTCAATAAAAAGGCACAGTTACCTTTGGTCTATGTGTGCAAACAGTATTTTCAAAATAAACTTCAGCTTTTGGGCCGTAAGAAACACAATCAAAAGAGTCCAGGCTAGACTTCATACTGAACCTGGGAAGATACTACCAGATAGTGTGATAATGAAATCTAAACCTCTTACAGTGTAAAATTAAGATGATGACATGATTTAAACATATAAACATGAACACTCACACTGCTTGTGGCTCCTTAAATTTTCCTACTTGCTGAATGTGATACATGAGATCACCACCATTCACATACTCCATAACAAAATACAGACGGTCCTAGGATAAAGTATTAAAGACGCACATAAATACATTAGAGAAAATATTAGATATGCATTGATCAGCAAAAAAGTCACTAATATGCCATTATAAAGCTTTTAAGATTATTAGGACTGGTTGTACATTCTGGCAAAATTGATAGATCAGGAAATGGAAGTGGAATGTTTTGTATAACCTGCAAGAGTAAATGACTGATGATATCTGTCTAGATTTGCCAGTTTTAGTGATGCATTTTTATAAAATGACTAAAACTGGTCTCTTCCAAGTGACTTCAGTAAGAATATATTGTTTACACTCTACAAACCTCTTTTATTTGGGATGGATGATTTTGACCACCTAACATTGAAGATTCTGGTGGACGACATTATGGCAAGCTTACTATCCTCAGTTATAACATGACCCAGGCAGCAGATAAGATGCATTAACAGTCTTCCTCCCAATTACGGAAGACATATTTTTGGCTTCCTCTGATTTTCCTTTAGTTATTTTTGAAAGAATCACTATCCTGAAGTATTTGTAGAAAAGTTCCGGTCTGATATTCTCATTGAGACTCATTACTAAGATGCTCTAGTTCAATCTCTTCCCTTCAGCATCGATTGAAAAAAAAGTCTCCAATTGTCCAGTAACTAAGATTTCAGAACATCAACATACATTCAAAAGCTGTGATTTCCTAAACTGCGTTCAACAGATAAGCCATGGGCAAAATGTCTAATTGGCCAGATCAGATTTATAAAATTTAGATTTTTGTATGAATTGTCTTATTGTAAAATCCATGGCAACAGAAGCCTGCAGCTAAAAATACCAGGAAAAATAATCATTTTTTTCCTATAGTCACACAGTTTATGCCTTTTCTTCTCCTTAATACACGATTTCTCATTTTTGTAGCTAATATTAATCCTCAAGAATATTTCATAGCACCAAGTGCAAACCACTCAACTCTTAGGAGAACATCAAGTAAATTAGGCAAAGGTGTTAATGATTTATCTAGGCTTTTATGTAGCTCCATTGCTCTTGTACATGATAAAACAAAAAAAATTATACAGTAAATACTAAAAACCCCAAATTCTTTCCTCCATTCCCCATAGCTGGAAAACACTAGACATTTGTACTTTTAAGATTTCACATTTAAAATGCAGTTGCTCAAAAGAAAGATAAGATTAAACAAAGTGGTTTTTCATTTACTGATGACATTAAGCTTTTTGGTTACTAATGAAGTTATATGAAGTATTAGATGGAGATAGAAGTCTATTTCTCACTAGGACCTCTCTTATCTTATTACAACAATCTTCATATTGTAAGTAGAGACGGGAAAAATATTTTAGAAAGCCAGAATTACCAAATGCAATAGTTCCCAGATTCACGTTTTCGTGTGATTAATTATGTCTGCAAATCTGCTGCATTTAGGCCATTTTCTGCTCAGAGATTTGTAGACATTAAACAGTCTGAGAACGCCTCTACCAACACAGACAGTTATGCTATGAAATGGCGTCGGGATGACGTGGCTTGTTTGTGGGCTATTACAATGTTATTACTTCAAACTAACTCCGTTGTTTGCTCGTTTGTTTTCAGATTAAAAACCATCCGCAATGTAGGAGGTAAAAGACACAGTCACGTGGAAAAACAACCACGTGTGTCCTTTTATCACCTCCTTAAGCGACAACTGAGCCCTGGGGCACTAGTTCAAGGCCATGGTCGTAAGACGGCTACAAAGTGAGGCAAGAAGAGCCTTGATTTCTTGTGAACAAAGACCTCTACCCAGCTTGGGACACTTGGAACTGGTTCGCTAGTGGCAGGGTGTATCCATGCCCATGCTGAAAATCAAGAGCAGGCTGAGCCCCCACTGTCTACCATGTGGCTGTTCGCGTCATCCAACAGACCAGTCTGGTGCCGCTGCATCTTCTGGTGCCACTGGATTGTCAGATCCATCCTGCAGCCTGCCTCTGGGGGATGTTTTGCACCGTGATTGGGAAATACCCACTTCATATAGGGATGGAAGAAAAAACCCCAATGCTTTCCTCTGTGCCAGGAGTGCCACAAAACTAAACTGAATCCATCAAACATTGACTTGTGACTAATCACCTCATGATGTAATAACAGCCATGAAGATTCTTCACGCACTAGCCTCAGATCCTTGAAAGTATTTAGGAACCTTTGGGAATCTGGGCTTAGGGCTCTGACTTAGCAAAGCAGACATTATTAAACTTGTGAATTGTCACACTGGTCTGCTTGAATTACTGTATGAAGAAAAATCTCTAAACCTAGGTTTTATGTTTAAAAAACAAGGTGTAATTACATGGAGTAACTCTTTCTTCACCATTTTCTATGTACAGAAGCTGTAATAGTTTGGATAATAATAAATGTTATTGAGCTGATAAAATCTGGTATCATATGGTATGGAAAACGTCAGGGTGCCAAGAAAGACAAAGCTCACGTACAACTGTTTGGAAACAAGAGTGAAGCTGTGTCAGAAACGGTGGTTTATCTTGCAGTGCCAGGACTCGTTTTTCAACCATTGTACATTCAACATCATCATCCTGAATCACTACATCTTTTTTCAGTATTTTGATTGCATAGAGCTCCTCTGTTCCCTTCCTGTCTGCCAGCATCACCTGCACAAAGAGAAACAACAGGGTGAAAATCTTCCTACCTGCCAAGGAGGGAAGGTGACTCATATGCCCGAAGATTTGTATAGATGGCAATCCAGCTTTTCCTTTTATTGGTATAGACTGACTTGATCAAAACTCCAAAAATATCATCATTACTCACCCCCTGCAACGAGCTGTACCAGTCATTTCAGACAAAGCCTGTGCCAAAACCCTCTGGTTATCACAGGCACGTTGCCAAAGGGCTGATAAGATGTTAAGTTCCAGGGGACTTCTTCAGTAAAGGACACTTTATCATGTAAGTGGTTGTTCAAACAGACAGAAAAATAGTCGTCCTTTCTTTTGACTAACAGATTTCAAATATATACATACTATTCCTGTTTTTTTCCCCAATATTCAGCCTTACCAATGTTGGTGACTTCCAGAACTGGCAGAGTGACCTAGGTAGTAAAGCCAGAAAAGTAGACTTAATTTCCTTGAAACTGCCAAGAAGTGAGGATCTAAAAGTCAGCAACTGTTTCTTACATCCTGCCCAACAGTCTGAGTCTTTTTAAAATTTTTTTATTTTTTATTTTTTTCAAGAAAACTGCCAATCATGACTGAAGCCTGCTAGACCTTAGGGAATCGCCCTACTCCACGTTAAGAAATCTTCCCTCAAAAATGCACATCCTTTTGACTCTGCATTTTCCTTCTTACAGAATTATTAATTCATTTTTCCTCAAGAAAAAAAGAAAGCAAGAAGAATGTGAGTGGAATAGTTATCAAGACTTCCTACCTTCCCAAAGCTCCCCTTTCCAAGAACCATGAGAAAGTTGAAATCTGTCAGCTTCACCCTGTCCAGATTGTTGGATGGCACACTTGAGTTCTTGTCTTCTGTTGGAGTAATGACTTTGTTACCAGCTGGCCCAAGTTTGGCTTTCTGAAGAACACACACACACATACACACACAAAAACAGGAAAGTAAGAAGAGGAGCCCGTTTTCTTGGCAGAATGGATCACTGGGCGAAGGTTAGAATTGGAGACGACCATATTTGAGGTGGCATTCCCAGGAGAAAGGCTCCATAACAAAATTTGCACAGACACAACTTCGAAGACTCATTCCAACAATACTTTTGACATTATTGAGTGAATTAAAGTGGAAAACTATGTTTATGTATAACCAGATAAAAGCAGATACACTTATCTGGTTAGAAGAACAAAACCAAAGCAAAAACCAAAGCCAAAGGAAACAAAACACTTATTTTCATGCCAAGCGCAGGCTTATCTGGTGGTTTTGTTTTGAAATACAAAAATTGCTTTTCAAACATATCATGCTATAATCTACATCCTATTTTAGGATATAAACAGTCTCTTCAGTAAGTTCTCTTTTAAAATGTAGTACTTAACGTCACTGCATAGCAAGAGTTAGGAAATCTTTGACGTGCATTAAGAAAAATAACCTACATTAAACAAAAAACACAACACACGAGAGTTAATGATGACCATGGCCACTTTCGGACTAGCAACACAATCAACTTTGATTTTTCAATCAAGTGTTGATCTGGAAAAGGGAGGAAGGGAAATACTACATACAAAGGTTCTGCCTTGACAAGACAGCCTGGTTTGCAGGAGGTTGCAACAGTCTCAGTATTTCATATGAGACATCACGTAATTGCTCAAGTAAGTTGCATTTCAAATCTCAAAGTTAACAGAAGAGAAAAAAGCGAGACTCACCACAAGATAATGCAGGCTACAACATAATATCCCTCTTTTTCTCAAAATAATCCCATATACCAGCAGAAGCAAAGCCAATAAAGTTTAATAATCCTTTGGGCTAGAAGTGCTTTCCCCCCATCTATCTAGTGTCTTGGTCTGGTAAATAACCTCCAATATGGTTAATTTACTTTGCGCCATTGACATACGCTTGACATTTAAGGATAACTACTTTTCTCACTGCACCTCAAAAGGACAGTATTTGCATATTATCACTGTTTTACAGAAAGAAAATTATAGAAATTAAAGTTTATTCAAAGTCACATAATAAATCACCTTAAAAGCCCGGCCTGGCATATACCTTTGGCAGCCTCACTGGAAAATGGAAAATACAAACTTTCCCTTCCCTAGACAAGTTTAAAACTGTTAAGATTGAAAGGGACGACTCGACTCATAGGTTCCAGTCCTGCACTGCTGCAAGCAGTAATGTCAAGTAAACCTCTGACAAAATAACCGTGTGTCACTTGAAAAGCGTACTCAGACTGGATGACTTTCCCTGCAACTTTATAAATGCAGAGTCTTATACCCTGCCACAGGGATAGAAATTTGGGCAGTTTTGATCTCTCTCTTTTTTTTAATTTTAAATTGTAATACAGTATAAAACATGGAATTTCTTTCACCATTATTATTACTTGCTTGCATGAAAGCAGCACTTGGAGATGCTAATCAGGACTGTGTGCTGTGCAAACGTTTAGGAAGAGCCAGTCCTGAGCATCAGCCTGTGCCTGAGTCTGCCCCGGCTGCTGCCACAAATCCAGTGTCCGTAATGGAGCCCTTTGTGGGGACAACGCTCCTTTCAAGGCCACAGTGCCAGACTGAGCCATACGCAAAATGAGTGAAAAAAGAAAAATCCTAATATCCTATATTTGCACAAGGGGAAGACACGGTTTACAGGAGCAGCTTCGCTGGCCGTGGCTTTGTGATGCTCTCGCATATGGGATCTCAGATAAAAGATGCAAGAAGCAATTTCAATAGCCACCTTTTCACCAAGTAACGCAGATCCGACTCAGGCACCGAATAGAAAACACTAGCTTTATTTCTTATATTTCAAACCCACTGGGCAGGTTGTTGGCAGCCTCTTTGAAAAATGTATCATTCAAAACCCCAAATGGAATTTTATTCCGGGGCAGTTTGCTTCTCCGGGCACAGACCTGCCGTCCAGGCAGGGAGCGCTTCCTGCAGCACCGCGATCCCAGGCTCGGGGCTCAACAGCACTTTTTTCCAAAAGAAGACAAGCGGCAGATCCATCGGCAGGTTCCTGTGCCCTCTGCCGGCTCCCGGTGCAGAAAGCACCGCGCTCGCTCGCATCAAACACAGGCGAGATGAAATTGTCAGGATCTGAAGGCGGCATCTTAAAATAATACCAGAGAACCAAGCCAAGGCCTCTCGGCGCCCTGGCAAGAAAACGCTTAGCTTCAATAAGCTACAGAGACATGCTCCTCTACTTCCATTTTTTAATCTTTTTTTAATTAGACACCGCTCTCAATTCGATCATTTCTTTTTTCACATGGCAGATTTTTAAGGAGAACATTGGGTACCTCCTGTTAGGCCCTGTGCCATCTGCCCCAGGTCGGCGCTACGGCAGGCAGGAGCCGATGGGACCGTCCTTAGCCATGAGTGACCCGCGCCAATGCGGAGTCGGCAGCCCTGGCTAGCACATCCCCGGCACCGAGGTGCCCCAGAGCATTAGCCCGAACACCGGCACGTGTACAGAGAGAACCCTGCTGCACACCGTGTGTAAGAAAACACAGGAACACGGCATCCACAAAATGCTGGAGAACGCCCAGGCCGACTCAATGAAGGCACACGGACCCCCGTGCAATGGCTCAATGACCTTATCGGATTATCACAACCTTATCAAAGGTCTGTTATTTCCCTTCAGCCAGGCCACTGGCCGTTTGCTCGTGGGCATGCCGAAAAAAGGTTTTCACATTTAGCATGTGAATTCCTTTTACTGCTAAAGTTCGGCTTAAGGTCCTGGTGAAAATATAGTGGGAATTTCAATGCTGGTGAAAAAAAGGAAACAATAATAACCCAAACCAAAACATTTTACAGATGATCCATTAAGAGCCTCCCAAAGTACTACTGCAACATGTTTCAATTATGACTTAGCCTCAGGCATGTAATTTTGTCTTCTTCTTAGTACTATTTAAAAAAATTTCCAGAGCTACTGGAACAAAATTAGGCTATGGGCATGGAAATAAAATTAGATAAACATGGTCAAACCATTACAGATGCTACCTGTGCCACCAAGTTTTTGATGGGACAGTAAGACATCTGTATGAAGTAAACCCTGAAAGATCTAGTCCTTATTAGCTGTCTTTGAGAATTAGCTGCTGTGTATATTCCGTGTTATTCATGGAATGCGTGGAAGTTTCTATACTCAGCAGAAACGTTGACAACTCATCACTACTAATTGATGTTGATGAATTTAAGGAAAGCCTTTAGCCTTGCCCTTTTATTACAGAACTTAACCCAGAATATAAGAAGCTCCATCCCTGGAGGTGTTCAAGGCCAGGTTGGACGGGGCTTGGAGAAACTTGGCCTGGTGGGAGGAGTCCCTGTCCATGGCAGGGGGGTGGCACTGGATGATTTTCAAGGTCCCTTCCAACCTAAACCATTCTGTGATTCTATGGGGCAAGGCAAAAGTAGTTCAGAAACTCAACTAATGATCTCTGGTTATGACTAAAGGATTACGAAAATCTTCAAGTATCAAAATCGCTTCACATTAAACTACAGAAAGTCTACAAAGGGAGCAAATGTCGTGTCTTACTGCAAGCAATGGGTGAAGATACAGGGGAACAAGCATTTGCGTACAAGATTTAGTAAAGATTTGGAAAAAACACGTCTGAAATGTGCTGGGCTCAGTGTGCATGTGGACTCCCTGCGCCGGTGCTGGAGCCCTGAGCCCTTCCCTTCTTCCTGAAGCCACAGCGCTCGCAGTGTCCCACATTTGCTGTCCCCTGATGGGAGTGCACAGCTTCTACTGATAGAATGGGCTGAGGGTAATCTTTGCGTATTCTGTATTGGTATTGGGATCAATGTTGGTTCTTTAGTGCTATTAATGTTAATTATCTACCCTTATTCTACTAAATCTGTTTATATTTCAACCTCTGGGATTCCTTGTTTTTTTCCCCGATTCCCCTTCTCGGGTGGGGAGGGGTCATGGGGTGACAGAATGATTGTCTAAACGACAACAAATTGTGATGTGTTTCTCAAACCATAACACATGCTCTCACTGAGCTCCACCGTGAGTTTTATTCCTGATAAGCCTTCAGAGAGAAAACGCCATGCAACAAACACACTCTTCCAGATTCCCGGAGCAAAACCAGTTTTGCAACTACAGAAGGGACATAAATTCAAATGATTCATAAAAGTTTATTGGAAAAGAGCAGTGATATTTTGCCTCTTCCTACCATGACTGAAGCTGACAACACCACAATCCTGCTTGAATCCAACCACATTTTTTATGGATATTAAAACTTTTTGAAGTTGAAGATGGCATTCCAGGCCCTGCACTCAGAGTGCTTGGCTTAGTATCTCTGATAAAAACATAATATTGTTACAACGAAGCCGGCTTGCAGCAAACAAACCAGGAAAACATTATGTTAAAGATAAATTAGTCTGCACTGGTAGCAGAAGAGTTAATCTTAAAAGAAAACAAGACATGCACATCATCTTACTTCCTCTGGTTTGGACGCACCTTATCTCGGCCAGTTCTTTTGCCCTGAAACCACAGGTGAGACATACTTTATATATTCAGCCCAAACGCACTTCTTCCCGGAGTGTTACAGAAGTTACAGTGTGTTACACTGGGCAGTCTCTTGGCATTTGGTGTCCTGGAAAAGATATCTCAGGTTTTGCAGCTAAGATGTATTCAATTTCTTTTTTTATTTAAATGTAATTGTTCTTTTAATTAGGTATGAAAAAACCCAGTCTTTTCCAAACCCGAATGAGGAGTGTGAAGCAAAGAAGAAAAAGAAGTGATTTAGGGAATAGTAATCCATTATTGCACTAAATTTTCACTCGCAGTAAATGTTCTCATTGAGTCTTTTCAAAACTTTCTTTCTGATTTTTTCCTGTGAAGACAATCTAATAGGACAAAACAGTAAATCTGAACGTTGGCTCTTCTGCCCTCCAGTTATTATCTATAGGTCAGAAACTTAA